AGGTAGGAGCTGAAGGATGAGAACACATGGACACGTGGTAGAGAAAACATACACTGGAGACTGTCAGTGGATAGTGAGTGGGAGGAGGGAGAGCATCAGAAAGAATTGCTAATGGATGCTGGGCTTAATTCCTAAATGATGGGATGATCTGTGCAGCAAACAAGCACAGCACTCATTTATCTATGTAACAAACCTGCACATCCTGCACATGTAACCTTGAATTTACAAGTTGGAAACTAAAAATAATAAAATGTTGGTTACCAATTAAAAAATGTAAAACAAAACAAAACACCAATAATAAACCAACTCTCCCTTCCCCCTTCACTCTCTCCAGGAATAGATGGCTTCCATAGTCGGTTCTACCAATCACTCTAGGAAGAAATATTTCAATCTTTCACAAATACTTCCAGAGCATTAAGAGAAAGAATATATAAGAAACACTACACTCTGCCTCAGACTATGAAGCCCATAAATATAAATGGGGAAAAAATGCTACATAAATTATTAATAAGCCAAATCCAAAAACATAAGTCTACTCCATTATGACCAAGTTGGGTTAAGGATATCTCAGAAATGCTTGCCTTTCTGCTTTAATTATAATAGAACAATACAAAGAGATAAAAATAAGACCATATATATGCACACACCTATATTTGTAAAAAGAAACACTTGAACAGTAACCAAAAAACTAATAAAAGTGGTTACTGCCCAGGTGCAGTGGCTCACACTTGTAATCCCACAGCTTTAGGAGGCCAAGGTGGAGGGACTGCTTGAAGCTAGGAGTTCAAGACCAACCTGGGCAACATAGCAAGACACCAATCTCTACAAAATAAAAAATAAAAAAAATTAGCCAGGCATGGTGGTGCATACCTGTAGTCCTAGCTACTCAGGTGGGAGGATCGCTTAAGACCAGGAATTTGAGATTAGAGTGAGCTATACTCCTAGCAATGCACTGCAGCCTGGGCAACAGAGTAAGATCCTGTTTCTAAGAAAAAAACAAGTAGTTGCCAACACCTGGTGGAAGAATCAGGTGAAAAGGGCAAAGGCTTTTGAGATATGTGAACATATCACTGATTTTTAAATTTAACTTTAAAAAGTAAATCAATTAATGTAATTCATCATCATAACAATAAAAGAGAAAATCATATGACCATCCCAAAAGATACAAAAAATGCATTTGATATTAAGTAACCAATCAAAAATCAGAAAACATAGCAAACTAGGCCTAGAATTTTCTTTTCTTTTCTTTTTTTTTGAGATGGAATCTCCCTGTCACCACGCTGGAGTGCAGTGGTGCAATCACTGCAACCTCCCACTCCCTGGTTCAATGATTCTCCTGCCTCAGTTTCCCGAGTAGCTGGGATTACAGGCATGCACCACAATGCCTGGCTAATTTTTGTATGTTTAGTAGAGACAAGTTCTCACCATGTTGGCTAGGATGGTCTCAATCTCCTGACCTCATGATCCACCTGCCTTGGCCTCTCAAAGTGCTGGGATTACAGGTGTAATCTACACCCAGCTAGAATTTTCTTAAACTGATAAAACATATCTATTTTCAAAAACCACAGAACATGTCACTCATGTGTGCAATGTTATCAGTTATTGCTAGATTAGGAACAAGGCCAGAATACCCACCAATCACATCCATTCAACATAAAACTCAGGGTACTATCCAATGCAGTAAGGCAAGAAAAAACAAATAAAGGGTATAAGGATTGAAAAGAAACAAACAAAAACTATCTTTCTTCACACATAATACAATCATGTATGTAGAATAAATCTACAGATAAAGTATTAGGATATGTAAGAAAATTCAGCTGATAGATTACAAAAAACTCAATACATAAAAGTTAATCATATTCCTCTGTGCAACTAGAAAACAAGACTTAAAATCATTTATTTGTATTTTAGAGACAGGGTCTTGCTCTGTCAACCAGGCCGGAGGGAAGTGGAAGGATCATTAACTCACTGCAGCCTCAAACTCCTAGACTCAAGCAATCCTCCCACCTCAGCCTTACATACAGCTGACAGGTGTAAACCATGGTGCCTGGCTCATATTTTCTACAATACTATAAAATTATGAAGTATCTAGGAATAAATTTTATAATGATGTGCAAAATTGTTCAGAAAAAAAAGATTAAACTTTTACTGCAAAGCAATAAAAAAGACCTAAATAAATGGATCAGAAGACTTCATGTTGTAATAACATTAATTCTCCCTATACTGGCTTATAAATTTAATACAATATCCAAAAAGACTCCTGCAGGCTTTTTAATGGCATGAGTCTAAGAAATTTAAAGGGCCAAAACTGGCCAATACACTCTTGTAGGACAAGATGGAAGGGCCTGCTTTACCAGATATTAAGACATGTTATAAAGGGATGGTAACTGAGAAAACATGCTGTTCATACAGGGGTATACTAACAGATCAACGGCAGAGAACAGAAAAGCCAAGAAACATATTCATACACATTATGGGCACTTGATATATGACAGGTGGCACAGCAGATCAGTGCAAAAAGGGGAGGGCTTTTCAATAAATACAGCAATAGCAATTGGCTATCTGTATGGGGGAAAAAATAAAATTGGGCCCCTACTTCTACTACACAAAAATCAATAGTAAGAAGAACAAAACACAAAAAGCACTAACCATAAGGAAAAGTATTAATAAATTTTACCACATTAAAATTCTATTCAAGGCAGAACCTTTTTAAAAAGAAAAACCACATAGAAGATATCTGCAACCCACATAAAAAGAACAACAACAACAAAACCACAAACAAATATACAGCCAAGTGTGGTGGCTAACGCCTGTATTCCCAACACTTTGGGAGGCTGAGGTGTGCAGATCACCTGAGGTCAAGAGCTCAAGAGCAGCCTAGTCAACATGGCAAAACCCTGTCTCTACTAAAATATATATATATACACGTATATATACGTATATATATATACGTATATATACGTGTATATATATATATACACATATATACGTGTATATATATATATACACACACACACACACACACACACAAATTAGCTGGGCATGGTGGCAAGTGCATGTAATTCCAGCTCTTCAGGAGGCTGAGGCAGGAGAATCATTTGAATCTGGGAGGTGGATGTTATAGTGAGCTGAGATCATGCCACTGCACTCCAGCCTGGGTGACAGAGTGTGTGTGTGTGTGTGTCTAGACACACACACACACACACTCTCATATAAAGTAATGAGAAAAGGACAACTCAATAGAAAAATGAGCAAAAGACCTGACTAGGTACTTCAGAGGAAATACAAAAGATCCTCAAAGTCAAGAGTAACTGAAAATTAAAACCCCAATAAAATACCATTACATATCCACAAGACTGACAACAATTAAAAACACTGTAATAGCACGGGCTGAAGATACCAAGTAACAGGGACTCTCATATACTCTTCATAGTGATTCAAACTGGTACAACCACTCTGGAAAATAGTTGGCAACATGTAGTACTATGGAAGATATGCATAGCCTCTGACACAGCAATTTCACTCCTGCATTTATATTCCACTTAAACATATGTAAATGTACACCAAGAGACATGACCAAGAATATTTACACCAACATTGTTTGTAATAACCCGATGCTCCCAAACCTGGGAACAAACCAAATGTCCATCTATGACAGAATAGGTAACTTGTGGTATATTCATAAAATGGAATTCAATATAGTAATGAAAATGAACAAACTACAGCCACTCACTGGATGACTCTCACAAACACAACGTTGAGATAATGAAGGGAAACCCAGAAAAACGCATGATAAAAATACGATACCTATGGTGTCAAGTTCAATTAAGTTTAGGAATGCATACATATGGGGTAAAAGCACAAAGGTAAGCAAGGAAATGATCACAAAAGTCAAGATTATGCTTACTTATGCAGAAGAGAGATGGTTATAATTGGAAAAGGTATGGGGGAAAGGCTTCAATATTGCTTCAATTCAATTGTTCTATTTCTTAATCTGGAAGAAGACTACCTCAATACTTGTTTTATAATTATTTGTTAGACTGTTCATAAATTTTTACATACTTTCTGAATGTGCATTTTACAACTATAAATAGGGACTAAAAAAGAAAAACCTAACACAGAGGATCTTCATTGTTGAGGTATTTGTTATCCCAATGCCAGCTACTGTAAGGTCACTCAGGGAAGCAAAGGTCATCATAATATGACAATGTTCACTAAGACAGATTTCTTAATGAATTTATCACTCCACTCAAAATTTCCCCCTCCCTCCTCGATTAACAACAGCAGTTTCTCTCACTGATAGTAAATACTCACAATATAAATACAAGGCGCATCATCTGCAAATTCATTCATTCAACAAATATTTCCTAAGTGTCCACTGCTATGGACTAGTAAGGTCCAAGACAAAGACCCAGATAGAGGACATGGGAACTCCCTCACCCACCCCAATTTGGCCTTCATCTTTTTACCCTCCTTTCCTACTAAGTTTCAAACATGAAGAATCTAAAATGAACTCAGGGCACATATTGTTACTATTAAAACTATTTTGTTAGTCTTTTCAATGCAGAAGTATCACTTGATTGAATTCATGTGGCAAAAGCATATTTCCCATGTTTTCAAGTAGGCAAAAAGATTGCCTTATCAAGAGCCCTAGCACAAAGCACCAGTTTCAACAATAGTGGTGCCATGGAAATTGGCCTAAGTGGGGCCAAAACTCCCAAGAAATGCTTTACCTGGGATCCACAGACCAGAACTTGCAATTTTCTAGAAACTGTACACCAGATTTTGTGTGTGCATGTTTTTTCTCAGGTCAGAGTCCAGAACTTTCATCAGATTCTCAAAGGAGTTCAACCACAAAGAGTGAATAAGAACTACTCCCAAAAAGATGGAAAGACTAGCTTCTTGGGGACATAAAACGAATGTGGTCACAGCCAGGCCACCTGAGTTGAAACCCAGGTGTCCTGACCCCTACGTTTATGCTCTGAAGGCCCAATACTTACTCTTAGTTCTTCAAAGGCTTCGTCTAGGGTGGAAAGTTGGTGGCCCTGGTGAGCTCCAATGACTGGACACAGGACACAGATGAGCTGCCTGTCTTCCTGGCAATAGGTGCTCAAATCGAGCCCATGGTCCGGACACTTCCTCTTGGCCACTCTCTCTGCTTCCATTTCTATTTCTGGGTCAAATTCACTTTCTGCCTCAGTTTCTCCCTCTGCTTCAGATTCCCCTTCTTCCTGGTTGTCTTCTTCAGCTTCGCTTTCTTGCTCATCCTCCATTTCTTCCTCGCTGTCTTCTTCGCTCTCCTCATCGCTCTCATCCTCACTCTCTTCCTCTGTCTCGCTCTCTTCCTCTGACTCGCTCTCTTCCTCCGACTCGCTCCCTTCCCCTGCTTCGCTTTCTATCTCCCTCTCCTGCTCCACCTTGACCTCCTCCGCTTCTTCCTTCCCCGCCCCCTCCCTGTCAACCGGCGGGGTCCAGGCCTCGGCGCCGTGGATGTATTCGGCCAGGTGGTGACTGAGGAATTTCTGCCTGTGCGCCTCGGCGTGGCGGCGGCAGTAGCAGAAGCCGCATTCTCGGCACACTTCCTCGGCCCCCGGAGCCTCGTCGGGCTCGCACTCGTCACACGTGCCGTCGTGAGGCAGCTCCTCGATGGCCGCGCCCACTCCGGAGGCCATGTGGGTGCTGTGACGCTGCCAAGGCCTCGGGGCCTCGGGGCTCGCCGCCTTCCCTCCGCGCGGCCTCCTCACTTCCTCCTCCCGCCCAGGCTCCCTTCCTCGGGAGTTGCCGCCCGCCTGGACCGCCTCGCCTCTCGGAGCGGGACCTGGGGCCGCGGAAGCCCCTGCCCGGGCGAAGCAGCAAAGAGCCTTCCCACCGGCTCTGCCTGCTCCGCAGGGTCCTTGCGCTTCCTCTGCCGCGCCGGGCACTTCCGGCGCGGCCGCCCGGCGCCCCCGTCGGCCCCCGCGTCGCGCCGCCCGTTCGGCCTCCCGCTACCCGGGCGAGATCGCGGCCGCCGCCGGCCCCCGCGCCGCCCCGGTTCCACTTTCCCTTTCCCCGTCAGGCGGCCTGCTTTCACTTCCTGAGTCATTTAAAGTGGCAATGACCCTTTTCCGCTTTTCCCGCGGGGCTCAGCTCCGCGGCTCCAAATCTCACCGTGCCTTGGAGGAGCGTGAGGGGAGAAGAAGGAGGATAGGGGAAGTCTCTCGCTCTTTCCAGGGGCGAGAATTGGGCTCCGCCTCCCCCATTCCCTTCCTGGAAGTGTCAACCTGCGTTTTCAAGGCCACTAGGCTGGTGTCCCCGTGCATTTCAGTCGCTCTTGTGCCAATTTGTTGCCGCCCGTCACAGTCCCCAGCGTTCTGCAAGATGCCAGGACAGTGTTGTTTAGCAGACTGAACCTGGCCTCTTGGGATTTCCTGAGTGCGGAAGGGCTGTGTTTGTTCTAGGCTTGGGGAATCGGAGTCAGGATGAGCAAACATTTTCGATCCAAAGCAATACTGTGCTTTTGTCTGTTTGCATTCCTGCCTCCTAGGATCTCAGAACTTCTGGGGTGGTAACCTCTGTACGGTTTTCTGAGAGCCTGCCTTGGGTTGGGCAGAGATGTCAGGTGAAGTGAAGTGGGGAGAGGCATCATTTGTCAAGTGACAGGTCCAGATTGCAGTCATTTTCCTTTATGTAAGGTGTCCCTCTAGATCCTATTGGGCTCTAAGAGAAAGGAAGGAACTGTAGTTTATAAAGCAATACTATAGTGCCAAGAACCCGGCTACATCTTTTTGTGGCTCTTTAAAAGACAGTTTTGGAAGATCCACTGCCCAATGGTCCCCAAATCCTGGTGCCACTATCAGTTTTTGCGACCATGGACAAGTTAATTCATCATTCTGTTTTCCACTTTTTAAAAAATGTGTAAAGTGAAAAGAATGGTAAACATCTACCTCAGGGGGTAGTTTTGTGGATTAAATGTAAAGATTCCTGTACTGTTTTCACTAAACTTTCATTATTTTTGGCACAAAGTGTATTTAGTGCTCACAATGCACCTTTGAAGGAACATATTTTACTCACATAGGGCATTTTCAGCTGGCAAGACCCGATTTCTACCCCATATTCATGTCTCTCCATTCACAGAAGAGTTTTTGTTTTGCACTGTATTTGAGAGAGGGAAAAGGATGTTTTTATCTAGTCAAGGGAGAGGCTGAGGTGTGGTCAAGAAGAATGAAGAGGATTGGAATGGTGTCTGTTTTACACTGATTCCCTTAGATGATTTTGAGCTAGAATTTCCAGATGCTTTCCTCAAACATACCAGAGGATGAGGTGGGATAAAAAGCATTTTAAGTATTTTTTAATGTATCCATGGATAATATATGCCTAATCATTGTGCAGCTTTTGTTAGATACTTATTTTTTAGAAACCTTTCTTTCTAACCTCAGAACAATTCTATAGAGTGTTGAAAAAAAAAATCAGGTTTATCTTTTCCTTCGGCACGCCACTGAAGATCCTGGTGTCGCTATGGGCCGCCGCCCCGCCCGTTGTTACCGATATTGTAAGAACAAGCCGTACCCAAAGTCCCGCTTCTGCCGAGGTGTCCCTGACGCCAAAATTCGCATCTTTGACCTGGGGCGGAAGAAGGCAAAAGTGGATGAGTTTCCACTCTGTGGCCACATGGTATCGGATGAATATGAGCAGCTCTCCTCTGAAGCCCTGGAGGCTGCCCGAATTTGTGCCAATAAGTACATGATGATAAGTTGTGGCAAAGATGGCTTTCATATCCGAGTGCGGCTCCATCCCTTCCACGTCATCCGCATCAACAAGATGTTGTCCTGTGCTGGGGCTGACAGGCTCCAAACAGGCATGCGAGGTGCCTTTGGAAAGCCCCAGGGCACTGTGGCCAGGGTTCACATTGGCCAAGTGATCATGTCCATCTGCACCAAGCTGCAGAACAAGGAGCATGTGATTGAGGCCCTGCGCAGGGCCAAGTTCAAGTTCCCTGGCCGCCAGAAGATCCACATCTCAAAGAAGTGGGGCTTCACCAAGTTCAATGCCGATGAATTTGAAGACATGGTGGCTGAGAAGCGGCTCATCCCAGATGGCTGTGGGGTTAAGTACATCCCCAATCGTGGCCCTCTGGACAAGTGGCAGGCCCTGCACTCATGAGGGTTTCCACTGTGCTACCCTCCCGTAATAATGAACCAATAAATTGACTTCCTGCCCAAAAAAAAAAAAAAAAAAAAAAAATCAGGTTTACTTTTTTCCAATTCCATACACATTTCTGTATTCCCCTGGCTCATTTCTCTGGAAGTTATTTCTGTGTCAGCTTTTGAAACATGAATTGATGTACTATTCTGAAAAAAAAATTCAACAAATGTCAACTCAAACATCAATATTAATGTATCTAGGGAGAAGTGTGCCTTGCTTGGTTATTTCACTCCTGACCTCACCCCAGGCTTAAATGGAAACAACTTTGCCTTTACAAACATAATGTTCTCACATTTAGAAAGTCTTTTTTCAATGAAAATAATTTTTAATGTCCTTTTTTTTTTTTTTTTTTTGAGGCAGGGTCTCTCTTTGTTGCCCATGCAGGAGTGCAGTGGCGTGATCACAGCTTACTGCAACCTCAACCTCCTGTGCTCAAGCAATCCTCCCAAGTAGCTGGGATCACAGGCATGAGCCACCAAGCTCCACTACATGTTTTGGCATTTTTTTGTAGAGACAGGGGTCTCACTATGTTGCCCATGCTGGTCTTGAACTCCTGGACTCAAGCAGTCCTCCCACCTCAGGCTCCCAAAGTGCTGGGATTGTAGGTGTGAGCCATGGCCTGGCCTTTTTAATATCTTAAAAGGACATTTTGTATTCAGGGTCTTTGATGGGGGCAAGGGGAGTCATGTTAACATTATTGTTATTACTGTTCCTTCTTAATGTTACCTGACAGAAGTTAACATATAACACAGTGAAGTTCAGTATCTGACACTTTACAATCCTTCTTTGAGCACTCTGTGGAGAGGGTCTTCAAGGCAGAAAGATTAAACTTTTTTCTTTTTTGAGACGAGGTCTCGCTCTTTTGCCGAAGTTGGAATGCACGATCTTGGCTCAGTGCAACCTCCACCTCCCAGGTTCAAGCAATTCTCCTGTCTCATCCTCCCGAGTAGCTGGGATTGCAGGTGTGTGACACCATGCCTGGCTAATTTTTGTATTTTTAGTAAAGATGGGGTTTTGCCATGTTGCCCAGGCCGGTCTCAAACTCTTGGACTCAAGCAATCCACCTATCTCATTCTCCCAAAGTGCTGGGATTACAGGTGTGAACCACCACACCTGGCCAGTTTAAACTATTAGAAAGGGACTTCAAAAATTTCTGGTGACAAGGTGTGGCAAACTCAATGAGGCAGATCTCTGTAACCTTCTGCACAGAAATCCAAACCATCTGATTCCCCAAGAATTAGTATATTTGGGAGTGTCCACAAATAGCTCCCTTATTATATTAATCTATCGATACATAGAAAATGACCTCAAAATGTTGGGAATTCAAGACCAGCCTGACCACATGGAGAAACCCCATCTCTACTAAAAATACATAATTAGCCAGGCATGGAAGCACATGCCTTTAATCACAGCTACCTGGGAGGCTGAGGCTTGAACTCGGGAGGCGGAGGTTGCGGTAAGCCAAGATTGTGCCATTGCACTCCAGCCTGGCAACAAGAGTGAAACTTCATCTCAAGAAAAAACCAAAACCGAAACCAAAAAACCAGAAAATGACCTCAAAATGTACCATCTTAAAACAATAAACATTTATTATCTCACATAGTTTCTGTGAGCCAGGACTCTGGAAATGACTTAGCTAAGTGGTTCTGACTTAGGGTCTTTCAAGAGATTTAAAGACATTGGTCCTGTCTTCAGGCTATCTGCCTGCCTCGGTCTCCCAAAGTGCTGGGATTATAGGCATGAGCCACCATGCCCAACAAAGACTCTAGTCAAAGACTCTAGTCTTTCGCTTAACATTGTCCTCGAAGTCTTTCCAGCGTCTGCTTTTGTTCAGTTCCAAAACCACTCCAACATTTTAGGTTTTTGTTATGATAAAACTTTATTCTGTTTAATAAAATTCGTGTTCATTATCTATTGCTACATAATGTGGGAATGGAGGGGAAACTTCACCCTCAACAGCTTTCCTGAAAAATCACCTGAACAAAGGCAGATTAATAGGAGAAAAGACATATAAATTTATTTAATGTAAGTTTTACATTACCCAGAGTCTTCAGAATGAAGACCCAAAGATACGACGGAAACTATTTTTATACTTAGGTTCAATGAAGTATGAACAACTATGTAGAAATATGATTGAAGAAAAAAGGGTGTGATCTAATGCTAATTTCAGAGGCGTTTGAACCAGAGCAATTCCATCTTGAATAGGGGCCAGGTAAAATAAGACTGAGACCTACTGTGCTGCATTCCTAGATGTTAGGCATTCTAAGTCACAGGATTAGATAGGAGGTCAGCACAAGATACAGGTCATAAAGATCTTGCTGACAAAACAGATTGCAGTAAAGAAATCAGCTAAAACCCACCAAAACCAAGATGGCAATGAGAGTGACCTCCAGTGGTCCTCATTGCTAAACTCCCACCAGCACCATGACAGTTTATAAATGCTATGGCTATAAAATTAGCCAGGCATGGTGGCGTATGCCTGTAATCCCTGCTACTCAGGAGGCTGAGGGAGGAGAATCGCTTGAACCAGGGAGGCAGAGGTTGCAGTGAATAGAGCCAGGGTCACGCACTTGCACTCCAGCCCACACAACAAGAGCAAAACTCTCTCAAAAAGAAAAATGCTATGGCAACATCAGGAAGTTACCCTATATGGTCTAAAAAGGGGAGGCATGAATAATCCACCCTTTGTTTAGCATATAATCAAGAAATAACCATAAAAATGGGCAACCAACAGCCCCCAGGGCTGCTCTGTCTATGGAGTAGCCATTCTTTTTTTCCTTTACTTTCTTAATAAACTTGCTTTCACTTCATGGACTCGCCCTGAATTCTTAATTTCGCGAGATCCCAACCCTCTCTTTCTGATAACACTAACAGACTGAGTGGGGAGACAGCAGGGCCTGCCTGTCTAG